TCAATATAGTTGTTTAAGTGTGAAAACAATTAATTAAAAACAGTTGGGAGCATCAGTGCATCAATGCATACCCATGGTGCATCGGTGCATCCGTGTAAAATTCAAATATTTTAACCGTTGGACCCTTAGTGCATCGGTGCACTAAGAGTGCATCGATGCATCAAGTGCATTCAATGTTTCAAAATAGCCAGAGTGCATCGATGCATGGCTGGTGCATCGATGCATCAAATGCATTCGATGTTTTCATAAAATCCTCAGTGCATCGGTGCATGGTATGTGCATCGATGCATGAAATGCATTCGATGTTCAATTTAATTCATGGTGTATCGATGCATGGATTGGTGCATCGGTGCATCACTCTGAAAAATTGATTTTAGGCTTGATTTTGGTTCAAAATACTTTGTGAAAATTGTTTCAAAAAATATATTAAGTATAAAACACAATTTTACCCATTTAGTAAGGTTTGAAATTGATTTTAAAAGACTTGGAGTAATAATTTGTTATCCGAGTAATTAAATCGAATATACTTTTAGAAAATCATTTGTAAAATCTTAAAATTCATTTAACTTAATTTGTTATATCGAAATACAAAAATATTTTCAACACATTTCATCACTGCTAATCAGCTCTTACGCTATTATCACTGTAGATTTGATTGATTTGCATTGTCGACTATTTTTCATGAAAGAACAATGGAAGGTAGGGTCTCCAACGTTTATGTTCGTGTTCATTTATGTTCGTGTTCGTTTATGTTCGTTTATTTATTAAATGAACGAACATGAACAAGCTATATTCCTTAATGAACGAACATGAAAAAAAATTTGTTTGTTTATGTTCGCTTATTTATTAAATGAACGAACATGAACATACTTCCGTTCGTGTGCGTTCGGTTTGTTTACAAGCCTAAGAATAAAGATTAGGGATGGGCACTGGGCGGTGCAGGCTAGGTTTTTTGTCGTCGTACCCTAACTTCAAATTGTATTATTTTATCCCTATCCAGTCCAACTTTGATAAATTCTAATATTTTTTCGTTTTGACCATGTTCTGATTTTTAAATTAAAAATCGACTTGATTCTATCTGACTCGAATATATTAATATTTTAAAATAATATATTTATAATTATTTATTATATTTTAAATTATTAAAAAATATATTATATATAATTTTTATATTTTTAATAATTAAAGAATATATTTTAATAATATAAAAATAAAAATCCTTAAAATCTTAAATGGCTGTCCCTTTTTCCCATATATATGGGGTAAGGGGAAGGTAAGATAGTAGGTTACCCCTAACTAGGGATGACAATGGGTCGGGTCGGGTCAGGTTTTTGGGCCACCCGACCCGACCCGAGAAGAAAGGGTTTTTCACCCGTGACCCGACCCGACCCGACGAAATTAAGGTTTCACCCGACCCGACCCGACCCGAATATATGACTTAGAAACCCGACCCGAACCGACCCGAAATAATAATAAAAAAAATTTTATTCAATGAAAACAGTGACTTAATTGAAAAAAATTATATATGGAGGGACATTATTGTAATTATCCCTAAATATATAGGATAAAATTATATATATTTTTCGGGTCGGGTCGGATTTTTTTTCACCCTAAACCCGACCCGACCCGACCCGAACAGTACATTAAAAAAAAACCCGACCCGACCCGACCCGAACCCGAAATTTTTTAAAAAAAATCCGACCCGATCGGGTCGGAACCCGTCGGATTCGGGTTGAGTTGCCATCCCTACCCCTAACACCAGGTTGAGAACAGCTTCCGTAAGAGACCTCCGAATTATAAAATACCCCCGTGGGAGACCCATCGTTTTCGAATTTTTTTTACCATCCCCACTTAAAAACGACCAAGACTCAACCCAAAATTATTTGTATATAACCACTCCACCCATTCCAAACCCCGAAATTAAAAAAAAAATCTACCCTATAAGGTCATATTAAGTCGAGACCCATCGTTTTCGAATTTTTTTTACCATCCCCACTAAGGATGGTGCGATGTTCAGTGAAATTCTGACACAGCCTTTTTCTTTTTCTCTGTCATGTGATGCCATTACTTTTGCTCTATAGATTCTCACAAATTCCTCTTAAACATTAATCTCAACTCATCAGTTATTATACTGTCAATCTATTGCTGATTAAGTTTCAATTACCAATAAAATGTTTTGAGCCATAATGTTTTGTAACATAACTAGAATTATTACATTTTTCGTGGGTTTTTGGCTCAGCCGATCTTGAGAAGAAGAAACACAAGCTCAAGCGTCTCGTTCAATCTCCCAATTCATTCTTTATGGATGTTAAATGCCCAGGCTGCTTCAACATGTAGAACTATTGCAGCTGATCCGCTAACTTTGGTTTCTAATTCAACGTTCTTATGCAAAATGATTTTTTGTCCTCATTCGTTCGCACTCATATTTTAGGTTTCCCCTTTTCCCTCGATTTCTCCTCATTACCGTCTGCTTGTAACTCCGGATCGTGTAGTTTCTGTCCACTGTTCCGACCGGAACTTTCTTGTGAATCGGATTATTCTGAAGAAGCCAAGGACTCTTATTTTGTGGAATCTGTTGATCAATTCAAGTTTAGAACTTGTGATATGCATGTAGACGGTTTCGATCGAAGGAAAGATTTGTAACTCGATTTGTAATGTCTACGGTTGGAAGATTAGATTCTGAGAATTGAAGGAAATATTGTCATTGTCGAATTGCCCGCCAACTGTTTGTAGAAATGTCTGGTTTCTTAGCTTAATACATACTGCTAAGATATGTTCACGAACTTAACCTGTTCATGAATTTCAGCAGGATAGTGTAGTTTCTGTCCACTTTTCTGATTCTGGTTGAGGTATTCATTGGTTAGCGTTCTGATTAGTAAGTCATGTATGGAGGGGAAGGAAAGCGAATTAATAACTCTGTTTGTTCAGAACATTCCACCTAGCTACCATTGGAGTGGTTTGAGACATCTATTTGGCAGGCATGGAGATGTGGTTAGCACTTATTTAGCTAGGAAAAATGAAAGAGCTGGGAAGCGTTTTGGTTTCGTTAGATTTTCAAATAGAATTGATGCAGAAAGAGCAGCTCAAAGTGTAAATGGTTTATGGATCGTTGGGTTCCGTTTATTAGTTAAAGAAGCTCGGTATGGTAAGAATAGCCACAGCAGGAAATCGGATAGTCCATTATCCTCCAAAACAGCAACATCGATAGAGCAAGATAAGAATAGAATTTCTGGAGTAAACGTGGAGGAGCAAGTAAGAAGGAGCAGTTCGGCTGACGTCTTTTCTGGATTTACGGTGTTCGTGAATAACGTTAGCAAAAGGATTCACGTTCCTTCATTAAAGGGAGTTTTCCATGCTTATGGTGATGTAATAGATGTGTTCATCGCATACAAAAGTAGAAAAAGACATTCTGATGCATCTACATTTGCGTTCGTAAGGTACAGGAGCAGATCTGAAGCTATCTCAGCTGTTCGTGGAGCTGATGGTAGGGTGTTGGACGGATTTAAGATCAGAGTCTTCCATGATAAATCGCCCGAAGCTAATAGAAAGAAGGTAGATGTTGGAAGAAGGGTTAAGAAGGTATGGAAGCCAGCTTTAAGGGATAATAGGACTTTTAAAGAAGTCATTGGTGGAGTACAGGCAGAAAGTGGTGGTGAGAATTACCAGAAAGAAGATGCCCAGCATGAGGATATTCGTAGAATTTCTGATGCTGTTGTGCATATTAATGTTGTAGACAATAGTGAGGTCAGTGATTCTTCATCCTATAGTGTTGTAAGCAGGAATATTTTAATTCCCAAGAAGGAGGTATCATGGAGAGTAAACTGTTTGGTGGGTAAAATAAAAAATAGATATAATGAAAGTATTATCAAAACAGCCTTTAGAACTGAAGGCTTGGATGCGAAGGTTAGCATATGGCATGACCTGTTGGTGATTATTCAATTCAAGAATGGAAATGACCGTCAGGTGTGCTGGCTTAAAATAGATGAATGGATTAGTTTTTGGTTTGATGAACTTGAATTGTTGGAAGGATATGAAAACAAAGTTAAAGTTAAAGTATGGGTTACTTTAAAGGATGTTCCTCTTTCTGTTTGGAGTGAGAAGTTTTTTTAAGGACATTGGAAGATGCTGGGGTACGGTTCTTTCGATTGATAAGGAAACCACTGACCATGACAGGTTCAACGTAGCAAGAGTGTTGCTGCAAGTACACTCTGAATCTTCCATTCCAGAAAAAAATTCCATTTTCTTTAACGGATGCATCTACTTCATCAAAATTCAAACCGAAGTGCAGGAAGATGTTAGAGCATTCATTGATAGAACCATGGTGGGGGGTGAACCATGGTGTTGGTCGCAAGGGAAGTCCTAATGTGGAGGAGCATATTGATTCGGCTAGTCAGAGGTGGGAAAATGATTTTGGTCTTCTGGATGGCAGGTTAATGCATGCGAACGCCAACGTGGATTACAAGGCTGCTCTTGAAGAAGGGCTGCATGAAGTTCCCATCATGTCAATTATTGAGCCAGCAGAGAAGCCTACTAACGAGAGTTTCGGGCTAATGGAAATCAATAGGGTACCAGACTCTATTCGGGCGACCCAAACTATTTCGAATAGTTCAAGGCTTCTAGAGGTGCCAATAGAAGAGGTGTCCTCCTTCCTAGTGATGGAGGAGGTGTGTTCTGCTGAGACACGTGGAGTCAAAATTGAGAGTGCGCTGAGGGGGAACAATGTTCTAGTAATTCCACTTGTGGAGAATCGTTCAAGATCAATTTCAATGGGGGAGAATCGGGTTAGTCTTAAAGCATCCTCGAGATTCATTAATGCGAAAAGGAAAAAACAGTGCTTTAAGAGAAGGAATGTAAGACTGAAAATCAGAAGCAGTTCGATTCCAAATGGATCCATAGGTGGGGAGAACCCTTGTGGCGAGAAGAGCTTTTCTAATGAAGCAGTGCTTTAAGAGAAGATTGGAATCGATCGAGTTAACGGGTTAGTGTTGTTCTATTGTTGAATGCTGATTGTTTTCGAATTTGTGTGTGCCTTAATTGTGGTATCTAGTTTATTTGTTCTTTCCTGGAATGTCCGAGGATTGGGGAAATTTGAAAAGATAAGAGATGTCTATAAGGTTTTTGAATCGAATAGGGTGAATTTGATTATGCTACGGGAAACAAAGGTCTCTGAAATTAGTGGCTATTTCCAAAGAAGATTAAAGGGTAAATTTGATAGGGAATTAGCTTTTGCGCTTGCTGAAGGGGCCTCGGGTGGACTAATCTCATTGTGGGATAGAAATGTATATGATGAAAGCTGCAAAATTATTTTTAGGAGGATGATAGCACTCAAAGGGAGGTTAGTGTCAAATAACAGGGAGATAGGAGTAATTAATGTGTATGGGCCGAATGTGCAAGGGGAAATGAGAGAATTTTTTGAGCAATTGATCACTGTGATTTCTGATTGGAATATTCCTGTGATAGTGGGGGGTGATTTTAATGCAGTTAGGATGGAGTCCGAAAGATTAGAGGTTCAAGTTCAATCCACTGCGATGGAGATTTTTGAAGAATTTATTACTGCTTCTGAGTTGTTTGAGGTACCAAATCTGGGTAGTTTGTTTACATGGTTTAGGGGAGATGGGAATGTGGTAGCGAGTAGGCTTGATAGATTTTTAATATCTACCGAAATATTTAGTTTGTTTCCTCAATTGATGCAAGTTTCACTTCCCAGGAGATTATCTGACCACAAACCTATTGTTCTAAAAGAGAGTAGATTAAAGATCATTAGACCATTTAAATGGTTTAATTATTGGGCTGATGATCCTATTCTGGCCAAAACAATCAGAGAATTATGTGAATTTAATAGAGGTAAAGGTATGAATAAAATTCTGCTGCTGGTGAAGAAAGTGACCAAGGTAGGAGAGAGAGCAGTTAGAGAGAAAAACCCAGATTCTGCGGAAGAGATTGAAAAAAAATTGATTCACTAGAAGATAGATGGTTGGTTGATCCAAGTAATTTTCTAATTCAGTCGGAGATTTCTGTTTTGAAGGCAAGTCTATGGGCTGTTATGAGGAAGGAAGAATGGTTACAAAAATCTAGGCTTAGGTGGTTTAAAGAGGGTGATAAAAATACAAAATTCTTCCATCTCTCAGCAGTAACAAGGGGTAGAAAAAATCATATTACAAAGCTGAAGGTGCAGAATTCTGTTGTTAAAAATCAGGCCAAAATTCAACAAGCTTTTGTTAACTATTTTCATGATGATTATAATGAGTATAAAACAATTCCATTGAAGAGATTCGATATCCCATTTAAGAAAATTAATGCTGCCACTAGAAGGATTATGGAGAGTCTTTTTTCGGAAGAGGAGGTTTGGATTATAATAATGTTGTCCGATGGATCAAGAGCGCCAGGACCGGATGGTTTCAGTTTAGATTTTTTTAAGAGATTTTGGAAGCAAATTAAAGGCGAAGTTATGAAGTTTATGGAGGAGTTTTACTGGGCAGAGTTGAAGATTTTTCCTTTAATAAATCTTTCATTGCGCTTATTCCGAAGAAAGTAGAGGCCATTTCTCCTGATGAGTCCAGACCAATTTCATTGGTGGGTAGTTTATACAAGAATGTATCTCGTGTATTGGCGAAAAGGCTGGGTAGTTGTCTTGCTGAAGTAATTGTAGAGAACCAATTTGCGTTTATTGTTGGAAAACAGATAGCTGATTGTAGTTTGATTGCAAACAAAGTCATAGATGGGCTGTCAAAAAGAAAGAAGGAAGCAGTTTTGATTAAGGCAGATTTTAGTAAAGCCAATGATACGGTTGATTGGTGGTTTTTGAATCTGATTCTGAAGAAAATGGGCTTCGGTAGAAGATAGAGAAAATGGGTCAACTTGTGTATTTCTACTCCTTCGATTAATGTCCTTGTTAGCGGATGTCCGTCGAATAGTTTCTCAATTAAGAGAGGATTAAGATAAGGTTGTCCGCTGTCACCGATGCTTTTTAACATTGTTGGCGAGGCTCTCAATGGTATGATAAAGAAGGCAACATACATTGGCCTATGTAATGGGGTTGAAGTAGGATCCAGAGGAGCTGTTTTATCGCATATCCAATTTGCAGATGACCTGCTCTTTTTTTCGGAATCAAAAGCAGTGACGATTTTAAATTTTAATCGGGTTCTAAAAATATTCGAAGTGGCTGCTGGATTAAATCTGAATAAGGAAAAAACTAAGCTATTCGGCATCAATGTGGAAGAGAGTAGAGTAAGGAGTTGGGCTGAATCGATCCATTGTGGATGGGCAGAGCTTCCGTCCGCGTATTTGGGTCTACCATTAGGGAATCAGAAGAATTCAAAAACTATTTGGCAGCCCATTCTGAACAAAGTTAGAAATCGGCTTCAGAGTTGGAAAGGTAAATTACTATCATTTGGTGGAAGGTTAACTCTAATAAAATATGTTTTAGTTAATTTTCCTGTGTATTACATGTCTATTTTCTCAATTCCCAAGTCTATAGTTGAGACGATAAATAGACGCATAGCGGATTTTGTTTTGAATTCTTCGACCAATAGGAGGATTCACTGGATTAATCGGGACATAATTTATAGGCTGAAAACGCACGAGGGGTTGGGAATTTTTGATGTCAAAATAAGGTATCGTGCTTTACTGAATAAATGGATTTGGAGGTTTAGCGTGGAAAATGATAGCTTGTGGCGGAAGATAGTTGTAGCAAAATATAATTATGATCATGATTCGATCATTCCAAAAGCTGTAAATAATAACAAGTCCTCTTGGGTGTGGCGAAATATTGTTAATCCGCCTGGGTCTATTGAATCGGAATTCTTTTCTGAATTGAGGTGTGTTTTGGGTAATGGAAATAGGATCGATTTTTGGACAGAAAGGGTTTCATTGAAAAACGCATTTCTGAGAATTTTCGGATTATCGAAAAAAAAATGCGGAAAGATCAAAGACTTTGGGTGTTGGGTACATGGTGTATGAGAATGGAGGATTGAGCTGAGAAGAGCATTCTTTGAATGGGAAAAGCCAATTTGGAATGAATTCATGAATGTTTTGAACAGAGCTGAAAAGTCTGAACAAAGTATTGACAGGTTAGTTTCGTCTGGAGCTAGGGATGGTTGTTATAATCCGAAATCTTTTAGTATTAAAGTGGCATCCGATGTCAAGATAGAAGAACCATGTTGGAGATTGGTGTGGTTTAAATTTGCTCCACCAGAGGTAGCCGCCTTTGTGTGGAAAGCAGTTCATCAGAGACTGCCGGTTATGGTAGAGTTGGTAAAGAGAGGGGTCATCAATTGTAATGACCAGACTTGCTGTCTGTTTTGTAAAAGTGAGCCGGAAGATATTAATCTTGTTCTATGTCATTGTATTGAAGTTTGGAAAGTTTGGCAACGTTGGTGTAGCGTGTGGAAAGTAAATCTGGTGCTCCCAAAGAATGTTAAACAATTATTAGACATGGTTTTCACAAAGAATAAGTAGGAGTGTACGGGCTTTATAGCAAATTGGCTTTTTTGCCTTGATTTGGGTAATCTGGTTGTGCAGAAACAAAAACAGATTTAATGGAATTTCTTTTTCGGCATATCAAATCTTTTACAAAGCTATGCTCCAGATAGGGGTTTGGGCGAATTATTTATGGCCGATGTTGATTCCATTGGTGAATGACTTTATTCTTAATCCGGAAGCCATAGTCTGCGGTGTATGATGACTGCAAATCTGGTAACGTTCAATCTTTCGTTCTGTATTGGAATGGGTTGCAGATCGCTAAATTCTGTAAGATATTATTGATTACAGTTTTTTTCGGTTTTATATGGTGTATTTGGAGGTCAAGTATCGAAGTTTTGTTCAATAATAAGTCGCTATGCAAAAATCAGATTTATGCATCGGCCTTGGCAAATTTTGGTTTCTGCTGCACGTCATTGGCCAGATGCTCGTTTCTCGTTTCAGGATTATTCTGTTGCCCAGATGGACTTAAGCTGTTCGTTTAGTCTCGAGTATGCTTGTGTTGAATGCTTGAGTGTAGTCTATCTGTGCTGTGGTATATAAAAGATTGATGTTGAGGATCTGCCTTGAGTGTTGTTTTTGCTTTGGTTGCATTGTTTGCTATTGGTCTGTTTAGGTGGTATTTGCATACATTTCACTGATTGTTTGTTCATTGTGATGGGAGTTAGTTGCCCAGATTATAAGTATATGTATTACGGCGGCTTCTTCTTTTCTTGTCTCGCCGGTTTGTTCCTTCTACTCTTCTCTGAGGTTCTGTTGGGATATGCTTGACATTTGGTGTCGCCTTGGTGGTTACCGGTTAGTGTTGGGTTGGGTGCTGTTGTCCAGTGGCCTGTGATTAGGTGGGTGGTGTATGTTTTGGACGTTGGTGTTCTGCTGCGTTGTGAATGTGTGCTGTTGGTGCTGTTGCTGTAGCTGTAGCTGTTTTGGCTTATTAAGAGTCCATTGTTCTGCTATCTTGGTTGGGGCTTGGTTGTATTCTGTGATGGGTGGCTGATTCTATCTAGTGGGTAATCTGTGTGGTGCCTGTCTCAATCTGGAATGGTGCAGTTAATGGCGGTGATAGAAGCTACCCAGTCGTTTATGTTTTTGGTGCTGTTAGTCGACGCTATCCTGTGTCCGCTCCTGTACTTGGAAATGCAGTGTCGTTTCTGCGTTCTGATTCATGTCGGCTTATAAGTATATTGGGGAGATGGTTGTAACTGGGTATTTGGAATGGGGAGGCAGGGCCTGTGCTGCTGTTTCCATGGTTTTGGGTGTTGGCGATTTCATCGAATTTATGTAATGCATGAGGTTAACAGTTTCTGTTGTGTTCTTTCTTATACGAGCATGGATATTCTTTTTCCTTCATTTAGGTTTAAGGAAGTTTTTTAATGAGGTTGATGCTTGTGTCTGATTTACTTCATATTTCAAATTTCAAATTTAATTGACTTGTTTTTCAAAACTAAATTGATTCGAAATAAAATGAATGATTAAATTTGTTGAATTAGGCATATTTATTTAACAAAAATTACTCAATTTTTATAGTAGATGTTTGTTTATATTCAAAACTAATCTTTTATTTAAGTATGATTTCGCATTGGTTAATAAAATTTTAAGCATATACTATCTTGTAGTCACCATATAACAGTAAGAAAGATTTTGAATTAACATTTTTACTAACTTAAAAAACATATCTTAAAAATTAAAATTCAATTTTTGGGAGAGGAGAAACTTATAAAATTTTATAAGATACAAATAAATTATTAATTAAAATAAAAATATTTAAAATATATAAAAAAAATTGAAATTTTTAATAGCCCATCTCTTTTTATCCATCATTGATTAGATATTAACTTCGTGAGAGTTGAGTAAAACTTTTGGTTCGAAAGAAAATATATTTGAATCAAACATTAAATTACTTAATTTTACTTTATAAAAACTCAAACTATTATACTTCAAAATAAATTCAATTTTTTTGAGATAAATCTTAAAATTTGGGGTTATTTTATCTCAAAATTGAATCATTATTCTTAACAACAAAAGAAACAATGATTGAATGAAAAACGTAAATTATTAACAAATGTAAATTTTGCATATATAATCTTCTTGAAAAGAGAAACACTTTCTTGGGTTTGAAAAGCAATGTACTATGTTTGATTTTATGGTGTAAGTAAGCTTTAATATACAGGAAAAGTTCTATTGAAAATTTTAATATTTTTTGTAAAGCATTATTTAAAATATTATTTTTTTATCGAAAATGTTAATTTCGTTAACTAATTTTCAGTGAAACTTAAAATTAACATTTTCAGTAGAAAAAAAATAATATTTTAGGTAGCGTTTTATCGAAAATGTTAAACATTTTATGTAGCGCTTAATATTAACATTTTCAATATAAAAATAATTTTTTAGGTAGCGTTTTACCGGAAATATTAAAAAAATATTAATATTTCCAATAACGTTTTTTCTTAGCTGCATATTAACATTGTCGTACCTGAGACATCCCAAAAGTTAACCGCGCATAGGTTGTGAATTTCATTTAGAATTATTTTAAATTAGACTAAATTTATTCTAGTTATAATAATTAACATCTCCATTCGTTGTAACTATTTGTCCGAGTTCTATAAAAAATTAAAATATATAGATATATATATATATATATAGTCGTCAAATAAAGTACAAGTATTTTAGACAAAGCTTTTGTCTAATTATTTACAAGTATTTTAGACAAAGCTTTTGTCTAATTATTTATCCAAATCTCCCTCGCAGGAACAAAAACAATATACAAAAAAAAAACTGCGTACTAACGTGAATCCAAGAAGCGAAAATAATCAGCGGATTTTGTCTTGTCAGTTAAAAAACCAAGAACTCTTTTTTTTAAAAAAAACAATATAAAAGGGAGAGTGCAGTGAAGTGGAGTCTATCAACCCCATACCTCGTCAGACCGTCTTTTTGGGTCCCATCTTCCCCCTCTTCTTCAACGCTGTTTCTTCTTCAACGCTGTTTCGTCTTCTATGTTGTCCAAAAAACCATAGACAAAGACATAGAAAGAGAAAATCTTTTTTTATATAGACATTGTTGTGTTTTTAAAAAAAAAATACGACCGAGAGAGGGGGAGAGAGAGAAGCAACATAAGTGTGTGTTTTTCAGGACAAAAGTTTGAGGCTATTGGTTTTTGGATGCCATTGTCGGCAATGTTAAGTAAACTCAACATGTAAGTGGCCAAATTGATGGTAACTTTTCGGTGGAAAGTTGAAGACAATAAAAATTTCAGTTTATGTGTATTAATTGACACTAAATTATTGATTTTTGGATAATGATAAAATCATAATTTAGTCATTTTACTTTAGGATATTTACAAGATTAACCATTAAGCTTCAACTATA